GATTGTAGTGAAAAAAATACAAAACCTTCATACATTGGCTTCTATAACCTGGGAATTTCAAAACTAGAAAACTGTGGTGTCCAAATATTCTTGATTCCTGGCCACAAAACAAGCCTAGGAGAAATAATTCAAAAGGAATGAAGATATTCATTTTGTATGCAGTGGGTGACTGAGGCTGGGACTGCATGGACACGTGCATAGGAAAGATTATGAGAAAAATCCATCAAATTAGTGTTCTCACATCAGCATTCATGAAAGACAGCGCTTCATAAAACCTTCACATCAGCCATTCACCATGGCTCCTCAACCACATTAAAAGAACAACAAACTTCCCAAAACAACAGGACAAAGGATTTTTTTTTTTTGTTCAAAACAGCAGCTCTGGGCCTTGATCATTCAGCTGAGACAATGAAACAACTAGAAGAGGCGCTATCACATCATGAATCCACCCAGACATGCTGAAATCTTTTGCCCATAACAGATGAAGAACAGAAAGGCCAATCCAAGAATTGTAAACTGACAATTTTCAGCAAGGAATCCACAGTAAAGCCAGCCAAAGCATGGCCAGCATTTGTCTCTAATTCGAAATAGATCCTATTGAAAAAAAAAAACCCCAACCTCATCTTCCATATGTGGATGTAACAGTACAGAAGAGATTAGCAGTTACTAAGAATAAGACCAACGTGTGCTGTGACGACAGCTGGATAACAAGCACTAACAATTACAACTCCCCCAGTGTGCACTGAGCATAAGCTGAAGTCAGAAAAATGTGTTTTCCTATGGATAAACCTGGGCTGATCCCAGACTTCTTCTGCACAGATATCCCTGAGCATTAGAGATAAAGCTACAAATACAACATTGTGAGGAGTTCCCCGTGGTTACAATCTGCATCTCTGAGATGCTATTCCCACTGTGACCAGTTAACTGTTGGTGCATTTTAAGTCCTTTCCAACTGTCTTACAATCCATCATATTGCCACTCTTGGGAGACCTTCTAAATGCCTTATGCAATTTTGCAGCAAAGCCAAATGAAAATAGCAGCAAGCTAGACACAATTATTATTTTCTTCAGCTGCTTTGAAAAGTCATAGGAAGCAACACAGCAAATGAAAAGCACTCAGTGATGGGGTATTCTGCAAGAATACCTGACTATCCAGACCATTTCAGTTCCAAAAGAATATACACCCAAGCTTTCAGTCAGGGATTGTAATAACGAAGCCTCTCACAGCTGGTAGAGCTGAGATGGTGATGTGAACTGTGTAGATCATTACTGCTGTGATAGCACCCCCATGAGCTGGGGCCCACTGTGCAAGTGCTATGCCAGGATCTATTAACATGCTGGAGAATCTCTCAGAGATAGATTCTGGCCTTGTTATCACTTAACATTTCCTTTGCTGCAAGCTATGGGGACTCATGTTTTGCTGGGCTTTCTGATCTGAATCACCACCAAGTTCCTGCTCTTCCCTCTCCTCCAGCTGCAGCAACTGCACTGGCACTTCCCCAGCTGCAGAGGACAGAAATAAATCCATCTTTGCACAAGCTTCTGCTCCTTACCTTGAAGTGGCTGTGCTCCAGGCTGCTGTGACAGATTCACTACATTGCTATGAACAGCAGAGAAAAATGTCGTCCGCCAAATAGAAGGGTGGAGAGATCTCTTTTAAGTATCATTTTCCAAAAAGTTCTGGAGTCTTTTAAACATTTCTTTTAAAGACAAAGCAAAAGAAGAATAAACAAGTTAAAATAACCGTAGCAGGCAGTTTGATGCATGTTGTAGTGTCAATTCAAAAAAGCTTTTTCTGTTGCTCATTGAATCCTAAAACTATCCTCTTTTATCTAGTGCTAGCAAAACCTGTGAGCTATGAATATTATGTAAGTTATATATGATGTTACACAGTTATAAAATTTTACACCAGGTCAGCATCAACAGCCCTGTAGAGACCATGTGGTCATGCATGGCTCTCTTTGTGCAAGAGATGGACCTGGCCCCTCTCTATACCATAAAAACTTGCTTTGAAGAAGGCTGTTCAGGCCACATACACCATCAGGTCATGCCCTAAAACCTCTCTGTTTCTGCTGTGAAAGACTGCAAGAGGCAGAGAGATGTTTATAATGCCCACTAAGTAGCCTTTGCAGACACAGAATTTAGCTTTTCAGATTGGGTGATTAAAAATTACATAAAACCAACTGGTTTAGATATCCCTCTTCCTCATTACATCACACTCATTCTTCTTTGCTTTAAACCATATTGATTAAAAAAAGACATAAACCCCAACAATACGCATAATAGCTCCTTCTCTCCCACAGCCCTGTGCTCTCCTGCCCCATGCTCATCAGCTGAGACAAGTTTTTGACAAGTGATGTAAAAATAATTCCATTGATGTAATGAATACCTTTTCCAACAGACAACTGTGCAAGGAATATCCCAGTTGTGAAGGTGCACCTGTTTTTTCCTGTGAATGGACTGTGTTTACCTGCCTTTACTACAAAAGTCCAGCAAGGAGCAGGGTCAGTACTCCCCCTTTTCCTTCCTCAGCAAGTGAGCAGTAGGACATGTAAGGAAAGATTAATCTGGACAAGAAGCTTTGCAGTGGAGCACGTTCTACTCCTCTTGGTCAGACTGGAGGTAAATCCTGTTTTTCCTCCCATAAAGGGGATGCAGCAGCTTTCAGGTTTTAATAACTTTCTTCAGTGCAGCCAGAAAAAGAAAATCATTTGATGGAGAGACTCTTCCAGCAAAGTACAGCCAGYTCTGGCAGCAAATACTGTTATTTAGCAGCACTCAGCAATTCAACATTACATAAGAAAAAATGAACACATACCCTATCAGTTGTCATCCTGAGGCTTAGTGAGTAACATTTGTTACATGCTATGATATATTGGGAGATACATATCTCCACAAGAAACATATATATTATATATATAYACACACACACACACACACACACACACACACACATATATATAAACACACATATGTATACATCCACACACAACATTAATGAATAAGCTAAAATGTCTTAAATACTGCCCTACTATACAGGCAAGCAACCTATAATTTTAAGAAACATGGTTTGGAATACAAAGTGGAGCAGAATTCATCCCAAGCATCACAGATACCCAAGAAGCCACTTGCTTTGCAATCTCTAAGATCCCACAAGGGTTTCCTACCTTCAGTCCAAGTGTAGGGTGGGAAAGAGAAAGAACAGCACAGGATTAAATTTAAATCTCCTAAATGGAGCCAAGGACAGAATTATCCATGACGGAACTCAGCTAAGACGGACGATCCTCTCTGCTGCTGTCTTTTGTAATCATCTTTCCTTTCTCTTTTCTCTCAGAAAAAGTATTAAAAAATAGGGAGAAGGTCTGTTTTTCACCTGAGGATGAAAATATTTTCTGTTAAGTCCTCTAGAAGTGAATTTACTCAATTTTTGGGTAGAACACACAGTTACTACTGACTGCACAGCAGAAGTGCAGTGCAGTGGCAACCAAGGCTGTCACTGCAGGTACTTGTGCCTAGAGGTGCTTCTGCCACCCCACCTCATACTCTGCCTCCATGTTCCATTTCCAGCTCCAATCGCCACAACCATGTTCATTAGGAGCCACTTGCGTCTAAAAGAACATTTTTATGTTTTGTGCTGTTTGACAGGAACTGTGTCATTAGTTCTCCTACAACTGTTTTTCTCCAGTGAAATGACCCATCTGTAGAGCCAGATTAGCTGGATCATGTCTTTATACCATCCCGTGAAGCTGTCATTTGCTTGTGAGGGGGTCAGCAGGAAATAACAATTTATGTAAATATATTTTAAAATACAGTAGAATTATTTAGGTTTTATTTCTGGACAGTATTTATCTACCAAGGATGAATTACAACTCCAGTACCAAGATTAAAAATAGTCTTGCATAGTTTGCTTTGATAAATTATGGTCTTTTTAATCCCAAAAATACTTGCCTATGCTTTTGAGGCCTGAAATAATTTGAGGCATTTTAACAGAAAGGTCATCATCTGTTCAAACTACATCTGAGAAAACTTAGGCAGAGGTACCAGCTGCAACATTAACATTTGCCTGCCAACTAACAAATGACTAAATAATTTCTCAACCATCTGCATTTTGGCTCAATCACACAAGGTTAAGTAGTCTTTCAGTTATTTCAGTCTAATGCCTAAATCAATACCAGAGAATGCAGAAGCAAAAAAAGTTTTAAATGCCACAGGTCTATCATTAAAAGGAGACTGGAGATGCTCCCAGCTTCAATAGCTTTTGCTTGCATTCCTTCATGAAACTGTTTAATTACAATTGGTTAGCAGAGATAAGTAGAGAGTTTAGAACAAAATGTCTGTTTCAGGCTTAATGATAACACAGACACAGCCAAGGCCAGCACTTCTTTACATGGGGCTTCTGTAATCAGCTTTTTTGCAAAAAGGAAATACTTTACCACTTTGAAACCACACTGGCAGGTAGACAAGTATTTTCTGGCTAGTAAATGCTAGCAAGCATTTACTTTCTTCTTATAGGCAAAACAACCGGGAAAATATTTCTGCAGGAACTGCTCCTTCATGCTACAGACCAGCAAAGTCCAAGGTGCTGAACTCCAGCTCCTGGCAGTCATGCAGATTTCAGCCAGACTGGCATGAAAACCACTTTGCTTCCCCACAATGATTCTGACAGCAGGAATTTCAAGGTGAGGTAGCTTATCAAGAGCCATACTATCAATTCCAAATTTCTCATTAAAAACACCAAAATGACAGCAGACTACACAGGGAATCTCATTTCAGTAGAAAGAGTATTTTCACTGAAATTTTCAGAATTATGATTCATTCTTTTCTAGTGGTGAGGTTTCCAGTCTTTCATTTTCATCCTTTAACAAAGTATAATTACAGCTCATTGCACCTTTTCATTCCTACTTGTCTATGTAAATCCTACTTGCTGAAAGTCAACCAGTATTGAATTAAGGGTATTTTTCTTGTATAGATACTCTCAAAAGAAGCAACTGATGTAAAGGCTTTTATTCAAAAGACATCATCTGAACTGTTTTACAATTTCATACTTAAAATTGTCTCAATTGAGACTCCAAAGACAGGTGCCATTTTGCAATTTTGTAATATATTTCCTGCAGCACTTAAGTATTCTCCCAGACATTTTAGTGTTAAAGTGACATGAAATTTTTCAATACTTCCAAGAGAAAACTGCTCTTCAGAACAATCCTACTGCCATCTTAACAATGGACAGAGCAGGATTAAGTTTGGATTTTATGGTCTAGGAATACTGACCAAAATTATCCAAAAAGAACATTAATATGCACATTAACTGGGACAACAGTTATGAGTTTTAGGCTTTATGTTGTAGGAATATCAGTGGAAAAGTAGACAAAGCACATTTTTGAGAGGGCATAGGACTTCTGAAATTTAGGGCAGTGCCCTGTCTGCACAAGAACATAGTCTGAATTCACATATTCTCACAAGAATGGGGTTACAAAACTTCATGTATTTCTGTGTATCAAGCCCACTTTCTTGAGGCAGCTTGAGGTACTCGCTTCAAAAAGCAAGAGGTTATGTTTCTCCTTCTAGCTAGTATCTGCATTCAAAATTTTCAAGATTCAGAATAGCTGGATTCAAGAAGACAGAATACCCATTCACTTGTAATATCCATTCCAGCAGTTCAGAGACCTCACCACCAGGTATTTTGGGCAACATCACATCCTGTGCCACAAACATACTTGAAAGTAAAGGAAAACCATACCAAAAATGTTATTCCTTATGAATTATTTTAATGAACCAAATATGAAGTGACAAATACAAGTCAAGGAAAATAACATAAAACTAGCCCCATCAGCTGCTGACAGAAGGTAAAAATACAGTAGTTGAGGATGATTTGAGGGCAAACAAGAGAGCATAGTAAGAGATAATTATTCTTGCCAAGAATATCAACCAAATCACACAATAGTTCAAATTTCATGTCAAATGCTTAAATAAGGTCTCTGGTTTGTTCCTTAACATAGTGAGTCCACAGAACAATAGGGAATGGGCTATCCCTGAATTTGTGGCAACAGGTCCTATAGAGCATATTCCAGATTTCTCCAAATACTGGAGATAAAGTTGGCTAAAAAGAGCAGAGAAAGTGAGGACCCTGTGTTACCCAGCCAGGTCTCAGAAATGGAATGTGTTTTCTAGACCCCATAATCTTTGGCATAGGTCCCTTTTCAATGTCTGCGTGAGTGCTTTAATCCCATGACTGTGAAGGTTGCAGCAGTCAGTTTCTCATACACTAGAAACATAAGAGCAGCAGTAAGGACTGTCTGCAGGAGCTTTGCTTCAAGGCCTTTGTAGAGTCCCACTAACCCAAAACGCCTAAGGAGGAGAAGAAAAACAAACAAGAAAACAAGTATGAATAGTTTTATCTAAGTCAATCAGTACCCTACAAAGAAGAATCAATATCACAAGTTAATAACAACATCAGGAATCTTAAACCCATTTTTGATCTCAAGCCAGCTATGTTTAATAAAATTTTAAAGAGAAAATTCTGCTGAAATTTAAGGTCTTTTGTGCAAGAAACATGCTTCTTTTCAATGTGAGAGGTGAAATGAACTGGTATCCTTACATATCCTCTTTGCCACTTACTATACAGACATTTAAGAGAATTTGGGTTTGTGGGCTTATTCTACAATATATTACAAAAACCAGGTTGACTCAAAAGTCAAGTTTAAGCAAGGCAAAAGGAAACAACATCCAGATCCAGCAACATTTTCAAAATATTAGTATAACTCAAGTCTTCTATATCATGATAGCAGACATAAAATTGGAAAGCTCACCTCACTCTCTGTTGAAGAAGGTAAAGAACATTTCTAAGACTGCCCAGTGTTCTGTTCTCTGGGTTCAACCTGTGGCGTCCAAACTGAAAAAAAGAAAGAGTATTTTGCTATATTATTTCCCCACTGTGCTTGGCAGAGTACACAATACATGCATGAAATCTGCAGAGCCTACCCTAAACCTTTTCAAACATTTTCCACATTATATGGCCTTCAGCAGAGAACTGAGGCCAAAACTCACACTGCAGGCATTAAAACAGTACATACTACTGTAATTTGTTTTGGTTTCAAGATGGATTCTAACCAAGGCCTTATTTCCTCTCTTTCAGTTGCTCTAGAGGAAGCAATTTTCAAGATCTCAAAAGCAAAATTTGCAGAGTCTTAGTAGGGATATGACATTCAAAGCAAATTCTTTCTGGCTTTCTCAGCTTTCTCTTCACAGAGATTCAGACGCTCACACATCTACAAATCATTACTACATTAAGACTGGATAGCTGAACACAAAATTTATCCACCGGCAATGGTCTTGAAGCAAATACTTATGTGTGAACTGCTGTGGAAGAATTCAAAATTGTTTGATCCATCTACCTGGCCTAAATAGTATTTCTCTTTTACTCATTGGATTTGCTTGTCCCCAAGCTAGTTTTCAGTAGGCATGACAGCTGCTGCTGTAGTTTTATACCTGAAGAGTTAAACTAGCAATTTCAGCAATTCCTTTTCTAGCATTCATTGATACTTCTATCTGATACAGATCGATTGGTCAGCAAGCTATAACTATGAATTATTAATATACAAGAGTTGGCACACCTGTGTGTGTAAAAGCACAGCCTAACAGCTTTTGAAGCCTGTATGAAGCTTCTGTGCTAAGAAAGGTGAACTTGAGCAACTGCATGTGGATTAGGTTTTTCCCAGAACTTGCTCAGGCAACTGCTACTTCTTAGGTGTAAGAAATTACCATTGACAGTAGATAAATGCTAAATGCTGATTTAGGCAGCTCAGAAATTTTAAGAAAATGTTAGGATGACACAGGTTCCTTTACTATGTTTCTTCATAAATTGGATGGAAACATAGCAGCAATAAATGCTAGTGAAAATCTCCATTTATTGGGTAAATATGCGCTCAAAGTCCACAATCTCCTCATCAGCAACTACTCATTTGATACTGATAAATCAATGTTAAGAATTATTGTCAAAGACTCAGACACACTCTCCAAAAAATTGCTAACTAGGTTCCAAGTTACAGGGTGAGTCACTGCCCAGATTACTCATAGGTTTCCCAACTACACCACAATTAGATGCTTCATTCTCCTCTTTTCTCCAGCACTGCACAATTTTTGTACTGCAAACACAGGCTCATCAAGACAGAAAAAACCCCACTAATTTTTCTTTAGGATGTTAACACTTAGTATTTACTACAGAAAATTTCCCAAGGGCATTCCCAAGATTTCCCACAGCATTCTTTATGACAGAGAAAAGAGACTTTAGTTTTAAATATAACTTTTTCATCTGGGATTACTGAGAACATTAACAGTATTGTTCTATCTCCAGAGGCAAATTTATCTGCTCTTTACTGATCCATATGCTAAAGAACAGTTTCACTGCACAATAATAACACCAGTGTCACATAGTTTATTGACTGAAAAGGAGAGAGACATACAAAATGGCAAGGCTGGAAGCTGCTACCACTGTCAATTACACAGCATAATGGCTCATTATATGACAGCAAGTAGAGACCTGAACCAAGGAGCAGAAAGCAAAGATGGGGAGACTTTATTACAAAGAACCCTAGTGACTTTCAAAAAAGAGTAAGTTTCTAAAGGTTTAAGGTCAAAAAGAAAAAACAAATAGTTCTGTACTTCTACTTTGAAGAGAGAACTTAGTTATGACACGCAAATTTATATGAATTAAATTGCGCTTGTATTAGTTTGTGTGTAAATCTGCTAAAATTGTTTCCAAAACACCTCTGCAACTATACATGTTGGTTTTTTTAACATGGAGTATATTAGTTCTGAAAATACTAAGCCTTTGCTCATAAAGGTTTTTTTAATGTCACTTAATATGAGGAACAAAAACATCAACTTGACCAATGCCAACTTCAGATTAGAAAACACATCACAAAGTAAAGCAAGTCTAAACTGGATGCACAGATGTTACACATGCATACTTCTGCTGTCCACAACAGATGTGTTCAGGGTTCCTGGCTATTCCTTCATAGAGCAAAGGGACTGAAGTCACCCCTAGTGAAAGCAAAACAACGGAGAGGCTCCTTGTGCTCTCCATCATCAAAGGGAGAGGATGGACTCCACTTTTTTTTAAATACTGTCATTAAGAGACAGAAGGATTTTGTTCAAAAACCTAAATGGAGACAGAGAAAATATGAAGCCACAAACTGTAACCAATTCTCTAGGAACCATGGAAAGGAATGAGGGCTGAAGTTGTTCTGTGGATGTAGCCCCATGACACCTGCACTGCTGAGTAATGCTCAGGCTAAAACAGAGCACTCTGTCAACTTGCCTTCCAGTTCTCCTTCACACCAGGTGAAAACACATCACAAATTGAAAACAGACCGATGTTGCAAATTATACAAACACTGCTACTTTTGCTTAAACGCTTTCCTGTATCTGCCACTCCAGTAATAGAAAACTATGTTATTAGGTTAGCTGCTGAAATGTATCCAGGCTGTTAAAATAGGATATAACAGGAAGGAAAGCACTAACTCAGCTGATCAAAATTTATGAAAATTTCAGAAAAGATGACTGCTGACAAAATTACACAGTAAATATATTCAAGTCCTCTTGCTTCGAAATATATCATCCTAACTATCCTTTTACAGGCTATGAAAAATCAAGATACATTTATTCCACTCTAATTAGAGAATTACAAATAATTACAAAATTTGCTTGAAAATTACTTTTTCCAGATGAACAATTAACAACAAAATTCCCCATTACAGAAGTCTGAAAAGTGATACCCTTAGCATGGAAGGTTTGTTTTCAATAATTCAACTAATTCTCCATATTTGTTCAATTTTTAGAATATATATAATGGCTTTACCATACAGGCAAATTAAGGTTTCTCCTTACTTAGGAAAATACATTTCATGTGGAAACACCTATTAATATTTAACTGTTACAAAAACATATTTTAAAGCATAGAAATTAAAGTACAATATGCTTATGCATGGCCATGTCTCCTTCTTCCCTCCTAACCCTCCTTTTGTCTTGTGTCAATATTACAACAATATTGGTACACACTCAGTGGAGCAGCATTATCCAGCATATATAAAGATTTCAAGGAAGAATAAGTGTGTTTCCATTACCACTACAATTAGCCTACATGGCCAGGGAAGTGGTTAAAGATATTATTTATGAGGGAGCTCAGCTTCCCCTGATGAATCACATTCTGGATACCAACAAGGTCAGACCATCATGTGAACAACAAAGCCTATGAATAGAACTTCTTTTTTTTATTATTAACACAGATCACCTGAAAACAGACTAATTTCAGAAAATTTAATCTTAACTTCCCACTTGACACATCTTCCATTTATATTCCAAGAAGTAAATGTACATTTTTGAACTGTCTAAAAGCAGTACAGTGCATCAGCTTCTGTGAGACACTGTATCAATATGTTATGCTGGCAATCCTACCAGCTACTTGAAACAAATGTGCACCAATATATCAAGCCTGATCAAAATCAAAGAGGAGGGACATTCTAATCAGTGACCTGCATTGGGCAAAATACCTCTCAAAATGATGGGTCCTTTAACACAAATCAAAACAAGCCATGTGAACAAGGCTTACATGGTAAGTCAGAGGCAGAGTTTCCCTAAAATGAAATTATTACTTACCCGCAGAATTGACTGTACTGTCTGCAGAGGATAAGTGAGAGTGGTGGCAACTGCTTTGGCTATTGCACCAATCACAAAAGCATCCAAAGACGTGAGCTGTTCAATAGATAAAGAACAGATGTATTTCCACATAATACCAAATCAACCAATTACCCATTTATATTTGGGGTTTCTGTACTGCTACCTGCTATCACATAGTATCTAAAGATCTTTCATGAAATCTCAGGGTCTTTTCACTTTAAAGGGCTGGGTATAGTTCAACTAACTTACTTTCCCACAACTTAAGTTTATGTGTAACTTCCATCTGTTTTTGCATTTCTCAGTATAAACAGACTACTAAAACATGGTTGATATAAGGCCATACAACTAGACCACTTTCAAGCACCAAGCATGGATGAAAGATAAGTATCATTTAAACATACCTTCAGTCAATAAGCATTTCAATTTTTGCAACAGTGAAACTAAAACGTCACATGATGCTTGTAGAAAGGTGACAGTGAAAGATTCCTTGAACATCACTCTGTCTTCCTGAGACATAATCACTACGCTCCTGGGCAGAATTTTAGTCACTCACCACATATTAGTTAGGAATCCCTATGGAAGCACACCCTCAGCACCAAAGCTCACACTGTCCCAGGATGCACCAAATACATTATTACAGCCCATTGTGGATTACAGTGAATCTCAGTCTATCAGTGTGAATTAATCACTGAACATAAGTACATGCCTATAGCAAAGCATGCTCAAAATACATTCTAAAATACATTCTAAAATACATTGGTTGCAATTCTAAAATACATTGGTTGCAATCACAAGTATGCTCACGCATGCACATCTTAAAAAGGGTCAAGCTGATACATTAAGACAATCAGCAAAAGCTCAGGTAGAAACAAAAATGTTGTCCGAAACAAAAATTACCATTGCTAGGTGAAAAAAAAGTATTTTCCCTCTTCACTGATCATGGACAAAGAAATGCCCTAATTTAAGGTGGAACTAAATAATTTAAAAGAAACACAAGAAATAAATATATAAATAAATATGTTATTAGCCAACAGGAAAACAACAATGCAGTCATTCAAAAAAATTTATTGTGGATAATGTAACCGAGCCGGTCCATCAGGAACAAATCGAGTGCTGCAGGTGCAGTATTAACTAAAGACAATAAAAAACACAAGCTTCATTGATGATGCAAAATCTCATGTAAAAATAATCTCACTGCCTTGAGGAAAAGCAAACATTCTGAAATCACAAATTATCAGCAAAGCACCACACCTTAAAGATAGGACATCATCTGAAAATGTAACCCAAATGCCCTTCAGTTTGCTGGAACATAAAAGGAATGTGAGTTCAGCTGGGATGCTATATCTGATATGGAGAAAAAAAAGAAAAAGGAAGAGGATGATAAAGAAGGGACAGAAAAGTGATTATAACCCTATTTAGAGATTCAGGAAAGTATGGTTGTAATGCTATGTTCAATTCTATCATTGTCCATCCTTGGAAAAATTATATTGAAAAATCGAGGTCTTCAAGAAAAAAAGTTATTTACAGCATAAAGGGTTAAAAGCAGACTTCAAAACAGTCTGTATATAAATACCTATAAAAGATATATTAGAATTTAAATCTCTACTTTAAATCTCTATTTCTACCTATGAACACAGCCAAACAAATGTGGACAAGAGGTGTAGCTTTATTTTTACAGGTAAAAGAATTCATTACAGGAATCTCTTCCCTAGGAACATGGAAGATTCCCACTTAATTTCATGACACTGGACCCTTTTTAGACACACTAATTCAAAAAAACACTCAAAAATACATGAACCAAAACCAAACCTAAATTCTGAATTTGTTCTAGTGATGCATATCAAACAACCTGTCTTGTAAAAGAGCATGTTCATCATCTGGCCTCAAAACATACTCACTTGCAGCTGTTTTTTCAAAAGCTTTCGTTTAAAGCCTTCATAAAACATGAATTGTATGGCAGGATTGAAGACCAGCAGCAAGGAAGGGAAAGTACCATTCCACAGAGCTAATACTCCTTCATCTCTTATTATCTGATGAAAGGCATCTGAGACAAAAGGTGCAGAAAGATATTAAAATTTTGAGTACAAAACACTAAACATAAAAGGTATGAGAAGTTACACTTAAAGTCTAATATTCAAAAGGTACAAAAATCCACTGCAGTCTTTTATGCAAGTATTTTCATCTTCCATTTTAATTCAGAAGTTAACATAAAGGTAGTGACAAAGGAAGTTCTTGCTTGCATAAACATTAACATAAACAAAACTTATCATCTGCACAGACAGCCCCCTCTTTTCTTTTTTCTTTCACAAGTGTGGCATCAACATTAAGGTCTTCCAAACCTTCTTCAAAATTGCAACAGTATTTATTTGGTTGGTTACTTTTAAAAAGAAGATGGCCTGCACATGTGAGTGATTGAGAGATTAAAGTGACTGAAGTTTAATTTTCAGACTGTCTGTCCAAACTCAGACTCCCAGCTACCACCTCACAGGGCTCACTACTGCTCCATTATCTGTATGATAACATATCTGCCCTTGCAAAAGGTATTTCGATTACAGGAGTGCACACTGTAAACTCCTAATTATCATCAGAAATAGCCAAGTCAGGTTTCCTGTAAAACTCAATGACTGCAAAGTGACAGGGTAGCACAGAGATTACAAGGTGAAATCACAGTTACAACAAACCAAAGTCTTCAAAGACGTTGATATATTTCATTTCATAAACTTCTCTTTGGTTGAAGACAACAAGAGGTACTTACCTATTATGCCTCTGTAATTGGTTGGTACAATGTCCTCATTTCTGAATTTTGCTCCTTGCAGCTTCAGGCGTGTGTTCACTACCCAGAGAGGGGTGGTCAAGAGTACATTCACTACCCCTAATACAAAACAGAGCAGAGAGAAACTCACCAAAAACCAGAAGATTTCAAATGTTTTTTTATCCCCCTTTCCCCTCCAATTCACATACTACTGAAATTTCTGGTAGGAAGATGGTAAAAAATCGGCACAGCATATGGGAAAAGTAAATGATAATTTGTACCTTAATTCCTGCTCCAAAATATAATTACATGGAATTTTACCACAGACATAGCAAACTTAAGAACTTCCTTCCTTATTTCCATCAGCTACTCAGCCAGTCCTTACACCTACACTGCAAGTACAAGAAACTATCAACTCCCTTCCCCACCCCCCCCCCAAAAAAAACCAAAAACCAGAGGCCTTTCTTACAGGCCTTTCTTACAGGCCTTTATTTTTAAATCAGCTTATTTCTATGCATTAGCATGAACAATTGCCCCTGAAGAATATTACTGGCAAACACAAGGCCCACAGTGGTAACTTTCCACACTGGATTTGCTAGTAAAGTCACTAATGTTATCATCCCTTCAAAGAAGGTACARCAGCATCCACATAAGAGGATGGATTAAAAAAGAACATATGGTCCCAATGGACCTGCATATATCTAGGAACTTCCTGTCACTTTCAGGTGACAACCCAAAACCAACTCTGACACCCAAATGCTTACATTAAAATTTCTTTCTTACTGCAATTGAAATTATTTCAAAATTGGCATGTATCTTTTCCTCTGAAAAAAACCCAGCTATCAGCTCTCCTTGCCACTTGTCTTCAGCACCTAAGTKATGATGCTTAGATACCTGCTAAGCACCACACCAGACACAAATATCATACTAAGCCACAAGAGCATTGTGTTTTGTGCCAGAATTCACAGTATCACTTTATGCATCTCATTAGGAGGTGGGTAGGACACAGAGGAGCAATAGGAAAGAAGTAGGTCTGCATACAGTGGGAAGTGTAAGGACTCAGTGTAACCTCCAGAGGACTTCATAAAGAAAATCATTACATAGAATATACCAAAAATACATTTTTGACAAAAAGGAGATTTTTAAGTATTACCTGCAACTACCCCAAGAACCAAGTCTTTTCCAGTGGTTGAATGCTGACCTTTGACCCAGAGGGTTTTAAGACTATTAAATGTATAAAAATAAACAAAATTGGAGCAGCAAAGGCTGGAGATAACAGGGAACCATCCTCGATACGGTGCCAACCTAATGGAGAGCAAAAAGTCATAGTAAGGATCAACAGAGTATTTATGTGATCTGGCTGATTTTATATATTGCTGGAGAATACCAGAGATACAATGCTGTATACTACGCAAAGTACTAACTAGATAGATCTTTATTAACAGTGGTAATAAACCATACTTAACTCCTGAGTAAGGGAAAAATTATCTGGATTCTCACACACAATTTAAACATTGAAGACTAGTTACAAAAATTAATATACTCCATCAAGGAGAGTTTTGCAAAGGATGCAACCTGGGCCATAAGATACACAGGTGGAAAGAATTTTTAACAAATGTCTTACAGTAAAATCTAGGGCAGATCAGTCAGCTAAGTGAGAAAAAGACATTACCTAGTTAAATTTGACTAGATTAACCACAGATAAAAAAGTGAGTATCATCTAAATCTGTCTTGATTTAGGAATGATTTTGTAACAGCTGACTAACAAAGCTCCCTTCTCTGACAGGCCTGATGAACCTGTAAAACAGGGACACCTCAACAGCTGTCCTACATTCCCAACATGTTCTACAATACATCCAAAAACAGATAATGATACACACCTTCAATGGAGTTGCACCAGAACAGGGAGAGAGCAGGTATCATGTTAAAAGCATAAAAAAACTCCCCAACAGCTGTAATTATGGAGGCTCTTTAGTATTTGTTAAAATACCAGGAGTACATAGAATTTAAGGCTCTCCAATAAGACTGTAAAAGATGCAAGGCTGGTAAACACAGCATCTGATTTTTCTTAAAAATACAAATGCTACTTTTTTGTCTCAAATCCATCAAGTGCTTCTCCCTCCCATATAGCTGGGAACACATATTATTATTAAGACTGTTTCTGAAGTTACAGGCTTAGCTAACCATACAGTTACAAATTAACTGACAATGCAGTTATTCATAAGCCAAATTAAAACAATTCTTGTGTTACCTATCTCTTCTGTGCTGGAGAAGAAAGGGAGAAACATTCTCTAGGAATCATGTCCTCTAACTGAGAGTGTTATTTTGGGTTTGCTTGATTTATACAGAACAACTTCTGACGTTTTTCAAATGAAACATCTTGCAGCACAAAACATGAAACTAAAACAAAACCCATGAGTTTATTTTAACAACTTAAATTGTCAGGAGTAGCACCCATAATTCACTGCAACCTTGAGAAAAACTTGGTGTACACCAGTGAACACCTTTCAGATCACCTGCAAAAGGATGGAAGTGCAGGGCAAAAAAGCAAACTTATGTGATAAACTTCTACAGGAAGTCCTTTAACAAAACCTATTTGCTTTATCTAGACAACCAAGCAGTCTACAAAGGTATGATAATGAGACAAGACTCGACAAGCTGATGTGAACAAAATGTTTATGATCTCATATCACATCTCAAATTTGTTGCTGTTTTGGCTTTTTTTGTTACTTCAAATGCATCTCTAAAATTAGTACCATTGCCTAGCCAGGCCTTCCCATACCTTTGGAAGAAGCAATGTTTCTCTCTTGCCAGGGTTACTGATTTTTCTGTTTCACAGGAAAAGTAGGATGACCCCTTTTGCAGTCTTTCCACCTGTGTTGGTTTTGCTTGGCCCAGTTTTTGGTAGCAGGAGGGCCACAAAGATGGATCTTTGAGAAGTTTCTGGAAGCTTCCACCATGTCCAGCAGAGCCAATCTCTGATTGCTCTGAAGATTATGGACATGCTGCTGGCCAAGCCTGGGCCAGTTAGAGAGGTTGGTTACATATTTAAGAAGAAATCAAAACAAAAGGGGCACAGAGTTTTCTCCTAGCCAGAGAAGGAGGAGGTGAGAACATGTGAAGAACAGCATGGACACACCAAGGTCCATGGAGAAGGAGGGGGAGGAGGTGCTCCAGGCACCTGAGCTGAAATTCCTCTGCAGGCTGTGGTGAAGACCATGGTGGAGCAGCTGTGCCCCTGCAGCTCATGCAGTTCACGAGGGATGCAGAGATCCACTCACAGCCCATGGTGAGGTGCCCATGCCAGAGTGGGAGGATGCCTGGAGCAGACTGTGGTCCCATGGGAGTCCCAGTGGAGAGGGAGGGTCCCTGCTTCCAGGCTGGAAGAGCCTGTCCATGGAGGACTGCACCCCATGGATGACTGACCCACACTGCGGCAGTTTTGGGACAACTGCACTTGTGAGATGAACCCACGCTGGAGGAGTTCGTGGAGAACTGTCTCCCATGGGAGGGACCCCACAGCACAGCAGGGAGGACTCCTTTCCCTAAGCAGTGAAAGAAKATCCCAGGAACAAACTGATGAAAACCCCCTTGCCCTGTCTCCCTGTGCTATTGGTGGGAAGGAGGGAGGGGTTGGGGGAAGAAAGAGTGTCTTTAAGGGTTTATTTTTACTTCTCCTTATCCTCCTCTGTCTCTGTTAGCAATAAATTCACTTTGCAACTCCAAATTGAACCTGTTTTGCCCTTGGAGTGTTTTCTCCTAGTTCTTTATCTAGACTCATGACCCTTTGTTAAGTTTTTTTTTTTCCTCTCTTCTGTTCAGCTGTGGCAGGGGAGGGCAACAGAGCAGCTGTTGTGGGTACCTGGCATTTGGCCAGCATTAAAACCATGATACCACTTCAGTTAACTTCTTCATTTCTCTTTGTTGCCTTTTTCTTTTGCCTTTTAAATTGAATTTTACTTACCACCCTCCCATGACAGAGGTAATGCGAGAATGTGAACAAGAGATCAGCTGGCAAAGTCATGCATACAACTGCCCAAGTTCAAAGGTGGCACAGATCATTATGGCCCAAGTTAAACTTTTGTCAGCTTTAATGTTCTGGAAGCTCTAGTCTACTTAGGAGTTCCAGGGATTCAGTCAGGAAAATACTTCTAACAAGGACAGGCACACAACTGTTTTTCCCAGCCAGCTCAGACTATGACAAATATTAAAGCACAGCACTACTGAAAGGTAACTGCTTTTAGATAGGTCTTGAATCCCATCAGCATAAAGTGTCATGTGTTGTTTACTTCTATATACTTAGGAGGAGGAAAAAACCTTCCAATCGGGAAACATGTCTCAATTCTCCTCTTAAAAGTGGCTTAGTTGTCCGGGAGTTTCATCTTGGTTAGAGAAAATTGACACACCCAAGAATCCAGGCAGACAAAGCTGGTTGATCAGGTATATGAAGGAACATTTGCATTTCTGAGGAGGCACAGCTACCTCACTAATGAAGGCACAGTTACATCACTGAACAGATCAATTGCATAAGGTGCTCAAGAAAGTTAATCTTAGCTAAAGATGAACACATAAGATTATGCAAGTCATATCACACTTGTGTGGAGACATTTCTGTGCACACAGATTCAGGCTAAATGTTCACTTTAAAAGCATATTCAAATTAGTTTTGGAGCTTGCCTACAGGAAGACAAGCAGAAAATTAGTATCTACTCACAGGCCTTCTTCTTTGATTATTTCCAAAAGGACTGCCGGTGTTGTCTTTGATTTCCGCTTCTCATCAACTGGAAAACAGAAGAGTCAAACTTCTGATTCAAATTTTTAGCACTCTTTTTCAAGTCCTTATGCTTGCAATTCTGAACACAAGCACGTTTCTTCTTCCTTATAAAGGAAAGAAATTCCCTATTTCTCCTTATTTTCATTTGCAAGGTAAGACCACTTCCTTGTTTTATTCTTCCCCAGACTAGAAGGTTCTATTGTGCYCCAGAGTATCTGTAACTACCAGTTCCTAATAGTTGTGACATGAACTGAAGGTAGGTTCCTCTTCAGTGGAGGACTAGAATCGGGCCTGCCTAATTGTTCTCAAAATAATTCCCTGGATACCAGACTAGCACCAGTAGCAGAGCAATCTCCTACAGCTCATCTGCAAATAGCTACGCCTTAGCAAAACAGTCTCTTCCTGCATTGAAAGCTGGTCATTTCTCAACCACATACTTCTGATGACCTGGCTGATGATTTCCCTCCAGTTCTTAATAGAGCTCCAATCAGAGCACTAAAATGCTTGGTGATTCTGCGACTTTTGATTAGAAGACAGAGTGTTAGGACAACAGCTTATACCCAGATGGATTTTTGTAAATATTGGATATTCTTAATGCCAGTTCTAACCCTCACTTCTCCCTTTAAACCATCCTAAGGAATAATTCTAGACTTGCTTTTCATGATAATGCCTGTGCATTTTGAGTGTTCTCAGCAGTCAAACACAACAACATGCAAATATAATCCTGTGCAATCTCACATCTCTGTTTTTCTCTTCAGTCTTAGATAGTAATTTAAAAGCTTTGTATGACCACAAATCAACAGCCTTTTCAGCTAATTAAAGGGTCACCCAACTTTCAAAAGGAAGAAGTACCTTCAATTGGAAAAATGGTGTTAGTGTTGGGTAAGGTTCCTGTTTGTGTAAAACACACCCCCCTACAACCACCCTTACAAGTGCCCAGGCCAAGATGAACAGAAATGCCATTGTACAAAGAAACTAGATTTTGACACTTACCCTGAAGTCTAAGCCTAGCTGTATCCAAAGGAAAAAATACAGTCATTGCAGTCATACTGCCCTGAAAAACAAAATAAACTGGCTATACAGTGTGTCAGTTGCTTATACAGTGCCTGCTAGACTCTTTGCAGCTCTTCACTTCTCACCCCAAAACAAGTCTGCTGAACAAGTTTAAAAAGGGGATAATCTCCACATATAAAAATGCATTTTTGGTCCCATACTTACAAATGAGGGTTGTTTTTTGCTTGTTTTTTTTTTTCTTGCATTAGATCAAGCTAAAATTAAAACCATTAAATTTTTTTGCCAAAAGAGAAAGTTTTTGAAATCTGAGAGTTGATCTAGTGGGCATCCGAAGACAAACATATTGCACTTTCTCTGCCTCCCATTAGCCTCAACACCTAATTTCTATCTTAAAAACAAACACAAAAAAAGACTGACACAAGGTACAAAAACTTCCTTTTGACATAAGAAAACAGTRACCAAACAAAAACTTCTATTCATTAAAGAGCTGGTAGTACATTTTTCCAGGACTTACTCTAGCTTTGTGCTAAATTCCAGTTTTGGCAATAAAGATCTGCCTACCAAGACACCTCCAGTGGCACAAATTACATATGATGATCCAGATGTCACCAGATTCACATCTTGTGAATACGATGGCCTCTTCACTTCCTGTGTGAACCAACCATTAAAGCCCCTAAATGGAAAAAGTATCCGACACCATCCTTTACAAAAGGGTTAAATACGTATTTGCAAATGCCCTTATCTTCCATACAAGCAGCCATTCCCTCTCTCTCACCTTCATTGCCATCACTCACCTTCTTCATTTTTTAATACTCTAACAATAACACTGTACAGCTTTTGGAAAAGAGATCTAACAAAAAAAAAGGCCCTGGCTTGGTGTAAACCTGTTTTCCATGCATCAGGTGGCTGCTAAAGCTGTGGCACCTCTTCCATTAGCAGCTGTGCAAACTTTTTAAATGGTGGGAAGTTCTGGGATACCACAAGTCACTCAATGCTGTGTTTGAAGTACAATGCCCACTGTGACTTCGTGACTTGAGCTCCTCTAGAGATGTCTTATGCCATATGTTTAAGTGAACTTTGCTTCTGGAAATACTCCAGCTCCTGAGAAGGCTGCTTGGACCTATCTCTACAACCAGCAGCAGAGGATTACTTTTCCAGTGGTGTTTCCAACACTAAACCAACTCTGGTCTGAAGTCTTAACCCGATTTAAGTCTCTCCAGTTTTCATAACAGCAGGAAGCCTATGAAAGGACAGACTTGGCCACAACTGCCTGGTTATTTTAACCCGTTTAGTTAGGGCTCCTGCAAAAACAGTTGGTTCTGCTCTCCCATGTACTTGTCCTGTCTGCTCATTCTCGGTACCTACCATATACCCAGCTGGACGGCAAGAAGGATTAATGAACAGATCTGGATGAAAATTTATAAAAAATATATCTCAGTTAGAAGGTCAGTATCAGCACAAAAAAGTGCCAGAAAGAGCTGTAATACACCTCCTAATGAGAGCTGCATTACTGCAATTTTGAAGACAGCCTCAAAAAGCAGTTATGCCTACACACAGAACAAGACTGCACTGTCACTACAACTCCCAGCCTTCCTCTGCTCAATTTATCCTACTTGCATCCTCCCAAAGTGGGATTTATCGTGGATCCTACTCTCAATGCAATGAACCGTATGGCAGCAACACACACACATACACTTGCACTCAAAATTAGAAAATGGAAAGGAGGAGACAGTTGGGCTAATGTCACACAGGACAAATGGGTGGGCACAAGACACAGAATAGTCTTTTTCAGTTGTAGGGGACCTGCAATGATCACCTAGTCCTGCTGCCCCCTGCTTCAGGGCAGACCAAAAGCCAAAGCACATTTTGAAGTGCATTTTTCAAATGCCTCTTAGACACTGACAGGCTTTGGGCATTGACCATCTCTCTAAGGAGTCTGTTCCAGTGTTTGAGTGTCAAACCGGCTTAAAATGTATATGAAACTATAGATCAAGAGAATGTCATTACTAAGTAACAAAACACTGCACATAAAAAAACAATTTGTTCCTTCTCTCTTCTGCTGCTAAATTGAGGGAAACAGAAAAGCCAAATTACATTTCTCCTGGGTTTACAAATGGAACACCTTAACTACATAATGAGGAGGAGCCCAGAAGCATATGGCGGAGACAGGATGTCATGCCTAGAAGGAAGGGAAAGAGGGATGAGCAGGACCTGTCCTTTCTTCAACAACAAAAGCCATTGAAGTGGATTCAGATTCCTTGCTGAATTGCACTTGAGACCAGAGGTAAAGTAAGTTATACTACTGAGTGCAAGAACAGATGCTGCCATGTTTTACCCTGCACTGCTGGAAGGGTGAGGCTTTGCTGTCAGCATTCCCACCACCTCCCTGTCAGCATTTGGATCGCAGTAGTTTRCCAAGTCAAGTCACATTACCACTGAATAATCACAGGGACAGGTACAGACTGGTTCATGCAATCTCAGGCTCTTGGTCAACGGTATTGGCACCCCTGCCTCCTCCAATCTGGCAGCATAACTTTCTGGGCACCTACACAATGATGCAGACACAGAAACTAATCCAGCTGAAAAATAACTTTTTCCAGTCACATCAGTTCATTGACCAGTCACAGCACTGGATAAACAATTGTGCAGTAGCCAAGAGGTGGCTAGAACAAATGGCCTGAGATGACTGCTCCCAAGATGACACATGCAGGACCACAGCCTGAGGCTTGCTTTATAAAAAATAGTAATAACAAAAAATTCAAATACTCTTTTTCAGCCAACAAAACAGCCTGACTATAATACTCCTATAAAATCCTCACCCCTATAGCTTCTGCAACAGGAAGGTTACGTTTTAGCTACATGCAGAATTAAAGAATTCAGTATATTAGAATACAAATAAAATTATCATGTTGTGGTCTGACATGTGCTTCTGACACATTACCTCAACACAGTTCTGGGTTTATGGGTGGATTTATAAGTTTGGTTCATACCACAAACTTTGCCCAGGATCACAACCTGATCACAGAGATCTGTATTTGAAGTGAGAAGTTAACAGCAAGGTCTAGAAAGTATTACTGACTTTTGTATAAGCCAGCAAAAGGAGAATGGGTTGCATTTCAACAACGAGATCATTTGAGAGAGTTCCACTTTTTGAAAGCACAAGCAAAATCCCCACTGTCTTTGATGTTTAAATAAGCAGATTTAAAACAACTTAAAGGGCAGACAAAAATCTTGTGTTTATTTATAACAAAAGCAAAACATTCCTTAATGGTTTTTTTGCCTGTTAGAATCAGCCTTTATCAGAGGCTTAATAAGACTGAATTGTCATGTTTGGAAGGGACCTCTGGAGATCACCCTGTCCAATACCCCTGCCAAAGAAGTGTCACCTAGAGCAGGTGACATAGGAATGCATCCAGGTGGGTTTTAAGTGTCTCCAGAGAGGGAGACTCCATGACCTCCCTAGGCAGCCTGTCCCAGTCTTTATTGTTCAGTCATATTTAAGACTTTCATCCTACAGGAGACGTGAAGAGCTCTTTCTATCCAACAGTTTGCCCAATCCAACGTGCTATATGTGCTAAAATGCTTTATCTGTTGGAAGTAGAAAGCTGATTTGCAACATAGAGCTAGCACTCTGGAAAGAAAAAATCAAGGACTGTGCATATTAGGAAATCTACTTAAATGCGACTTTTTAATTTACAAGCGTCATATGAAAAATCAAATTCAACAACCGATACAAACCTCCTCTGGCTGCACTGCGCCCCCTTTACATTTTGATTAACACCTATGTGCTACCTCACCCTTCCCAACTTCTAAGTACTTATGAGACCGTGGCAGGAGGACGATGCTTGGTACAGCTCTCGGATCACACAGCTAAGGTGCTGCCCCTCTGCCTAAGCTTCTGGGAAGGTTAGATTTTCACCGCTGAAGTGATGCCCAGTTCCCGGCTTTCGGAGGGGCACGCCTGCAGCTTTCCCTGGCTCAGGGGAGGCTCCGGCGGCTMAGGCCCACAGCTGGCCTCCAGATTCCCCAAGTCCCGCGCCGGTTCCCCGGCGAAAAAAAGGCCAAAAGAAGGCTGCCGGCGGCCCGCGCCCCGCGCCCCCCGCCAGGCCGGTACGGCCGCTCCRCCCGCTGGGCCCTCAGCCCCGCGCCCGGCGCCGGCCCGCTCGCTCACCACGGCCCCGGACACGGCGTGCACCAGGCTCTCGTACGAGGCAACGGACGACATCGCGACGGCTCTCGGGGAGCGCGGCGGCTGCGGCTGCGCCTGCTCCGCCACCCGGCCCGGCGGCCCCGCGGCCCCGGCCAGCTCTGAGCGAGCGAGCGCCGCCCCCGCGCCCGCCATGGCACCCGCCCTGTCACGTGCGCCAGCGGCCCCGCCCCGCACGCGCTCCGGGCCGGGGGGAGCCGGCGGAGGCGCTCGGAATCTTTCGTGAGGCTTTTCGGAAAAATATAGAATTAGGGTATCCGGGAAATGCGTTGTTGTTCCTTCCTTTGTAACTACAATAGCGCCTTTTCTCTCCACCAGCAGCTTCGCTTCTCACCGAGAAGAGGCGGTTCACTGAGAAGGAACCTCATCAGTGGCTGTCACCATCTGAATGGAGGGTGGTAAGAGGATGGTGCCGGGCTCTGCTCTGTGGTGCCAAGCAATAGGACAAGAGGCAGGGGGCAGAAACTAATGCACAGGAAGTTGCACCTGAACAAGAGAAAGAACTTCTTTACTGTGCAGTGAGACACTGAACAGGTTGCCCAGAGAGATTGTGAAGTCTCCCTCACTGGAGATATTCAGGAACCCTCTGGACACAATGCTGTGCCATATTTAATAGCAATACTGACTTTTTTTTTTTTTTTTTTTTTTTTAGCAATTCCACTAGAGAATCACCGAACAGCCTGGGTTGAAAAGGACCCAGAAGGATCATCATGTGCTCTGGAATGACCCTGTTCCAACAGGAAGGTTGGATTACATGACCCACTGTGGTCCTTTCTTAACATGACCCTTTTTGTGATTCTGTGGTTCCCTTTCCCAAACATTTAACATAAGCATTTAATTACAAGGAGTAAGCAATACTAAACTTCCCATTCTGATTCTGCTCTTTGCTAACTACAGTCCCTTCTACCTACCTAAAGTCTGGTATCTTTAAAGTAACATATTTTTCAAGACAGTGATTTCCTCTTATTCCATGTGGACCAATCGAGTCTGATGGATTTGCAAGCATAAGGGGATGCTTAGCCTGGAGAAAAGGAAGCTTGGGTGGGACTTAGTGCACTACAAGTTAAAGGAGATTGTAGCAAGGTGGGGGTCAGCCTCTTCTCCCAAATAACAAGTTACAGGAAAAGAGAAAACAGCCTCGAGTTGCTCCAGGGGAGGTTTATATTGAATCTTGGGAAAAATTTCTTCARTGAAGAGGTTGCCCAGTATTGAAACACACGGTCCAGGGAAGTGGCTGAGTCACTATCCCTGGAGGTGTTTACAACAGACATAGATACTGCACTGGGGACATGGCTTAGTGGTGGATGTGGCAGTGCTAGGTTTGCAGTTGGACTCAATCTTAGAGGTCTTTTCCAAATTAAACAAYTCCATTATTCTGTTTTGCTTACTTCTTTTCTCAGTCTGTATGCCCTTGCTCCTCCTTTGCCATCATGGTGAGAGYCTGCAGCACACCACTACAAACAGAACATCTCTTGGCTTGGGGTTCAGGCATCACCAGAAAAGAGGCCTGACTGAAATCATCCCTGCAGTGCAGTCCCTTTGGTGTTTTAGGATGGAATGAGAAGTCCTAGCAAGACAGCACTAGACACAGGTAGCTGGTCAAAGTACAGGGGAGCCATGGCTCACTGCACTTAGGGCACACAAAGACAAGGCTATCAAACACACAGTTTGGGAAAATATCCTATAATAATCCTATAGCCTCCTCTTAACCCTTTATGTAGAAGAGGTTCCACAAGTATGAAAGAGCTGAGGAAATTAAATGAGTTTGGACATGCCACAATTCATAACACCTGGGAGGTGATACATCACCACGTGTCTTTGTATCCAGTCAGGTTTTTTTCCCATTTTTATGTAATATACCCATTTCCAGATAGCTTCAAGGTTTTGCCTGTGTTAACAATCACTCCTTTTTTGTTAGTTTCACCTACACATCAGAAAAAAAAACTATAATTAAAGATCACAATTAATATTCTCTTTAGCTTTGTATCATGTTGCTTCTGGGGTCTTTGGTTTCTGTTGATACTCCCATCATCTTTTGTTCTCTCTTTCTGAAAGAAATATTTACTTCCTAACTGGTTCTTCATATTTGCGGTTCTCAGTTCTTCAGCCTCCATTCCCCAGTTGCCTCTTGTTTGAGCTGCAAGAGCTCCTAGTGGTAGGAATCACTATATGATCCATTAGTTAAACAAGGGGAGGGCAGTTGGAATATTACGCTGTTCCCAAGAGTTTCTGTCACATATTTGGGTAAGCCATTCCCTTTTGAGAAGATGTTCCTTCATCAGCCGGCTGATATGTAAGATGCCCTGTGATGGATGCACCCTCTGTGACTGAGTGAACAGTACTTGGGTTCAGGCATCACCAGAAAAGAGGCCTGACTGAAATCATCCCTGCAGTGCAAATCYCATCAAAGAGAAGCATCTTAAGCCATATCTTATCCAGGAACAAAGGATTTGAGGCCTCTCTTAGGAGGAGCTCACAGTACCAGCCTGAGCTGGGACTAGACAGAAGTGAAACTGCTACAGCTGCACACCTGCACATACACCAAAAGGAGCTCTGACTAMGAGTAATAGTATATTCTCATTCATTTTATATTCTAAACCTCTGTAGCCCCCATGAGTCCATTGAGCTCTCCTGTGCAGTAGCAGCCTGCTTGGCAATGATCTCCCCWTTGAGCAGGGATGGCTCTAAAGGTTAAAGCTCAAGGTTGAAAGATCCCCTTCCAAAACATATGATATCTATAATGAGGTGACATTTTACATGAAGCCTAGAAGTATATTGTATATTAGCTGCAGTTTCTGGCTATAGCTTTATTATTAGAAGTATGGTAATAAGTGTAAATTATTGTCTAAACAATAATTTAAAACATTGTTAAATCACTGTTTATTTACCATTCAATTATTACTTAGTAACAATTCTATCATTCACTTTTCATTCAGTTGTTAATTATCTTTGATCATCATTTAATTTTTAATAAAACCTTTTTAGTTAAGCCCACATGGATATACTCTTAATAAATCACATGTGACACACTCCTGGATGCAAAAGACTCAGACCTTAATTTAGAATTAAGGTGTAAACAGGTCATTGGCTATCTCCTGTCACTTAAGCAGGCAGAAGTTTTACAGTACAGGAAACAATTACACAAAGTGATTGCACAACCAGCTCCATGAACTTTTAGGAGAAATGCCTCAAACAGGACACAGACTCCCATTACTGCTGTTCTTTGTGATTTTGTTCCTCCTGTGCCAAGGGAAGCTTTCACCAAAGTGTCAGTTTATACTGCAGACTGGAATTCCATCATAAACATGCTCCTACACTATTCCTACTATATTTAGCAATATTTTTCATACAACACAGTGTCCTGTCTATATTGCAAAACAGTATTAACAGGTAATGTAACAAYTGCAATATCCTAAAAGCAACTTACTTTATTGTTTGAACATATAGACCTAATGAAGCTGTCCAAGAAGCAAGAGGATACACTACAGATACAGTTAAACAAGATGTGCCTTGTATTCTACCAAGGAAAATAAAGGAAATTACCTGAAAACCTATCCAAACCTACCTACATAAAAGCTTTCATGCAGACATGGTCTTAAGGTCTCCACAGAAATGCCACAAGTTCAACAGGTCACCTAACACGCACAAATGGGGTTTAAGGAAGGACAGAAGGCCCAAGTTACCTACTTTTCCTCAAATCTGTAAATTCTGTGGGAAAGCCTGGAAGAAGTGAACTAAATTAAGCAACTACAAGTACAAACATATTCTCTGAACTGCATCTTTTGTAATTTCTAGTTTGCGTAATTCCGTAGGTTCCTGTACAAGGTAATCAATCTTGAGAAACCTTATCCTTGATGGATTTTCTTTGGCTGGCCCAAACTTTGTTTCTGTTTCGTGACAAGGAATGAGGATACTGTTGGTGACTGCAGAGGTCAAACTTACTGCCTCTGGACTGTGTCCTACCTCTGCAAGAAAAGGATGAATTCTAGACTTAAACTAATTTTACCCTTCTACTCTCCATATTCTAACATWAWTTAAAAAAAAAAATCAGAAATTCTTATCTCCTTTATTTTTGCTTAGAAATTCAATTTGTTAGAGTGCAAACATGTCAAGATGAAATTTAATTACTACTTGCAAAGGGACTTTCTGAATCTGTTGCAAAACTGTCTCTCAGAGAAGGTGGATAAACTGGATCATACTGCCAGTACATCATAGATAAAAACAACTAGAAATTAACAAATGAGATCACATGTCCTGACAATCTGAACTCATTAAATAGAGCAATTTGACCACACCGACTTGTCAAGATCAGACTTAAGTATCAAGGGCAAGGTAAAACCAGCCCCTTCCAGAAGCAATCATCGTAATCACAAACATTAAAAAACCCGTTTCTTAAGCACGTGTGTGCACTTTGTCTGAACAGATTTTGACTGAGGCTCTAGAATGACACAGAATGTTCCCAACATACTTCATCTAGGTCGAGAGACATCGAAAGTTGAAATTATTTTTCATTTGTCATTATTACATTTACTCTCCTATCTTGGTGCTTGCTCAATAGCCTAAGTAGACCAAACATCCCTCATCTACCTTCTAGTTTTACAGTTTTACATAGACTAAGTAATTGTCAAACACAGATTTTGTTGTCTTGATGTTGCGTTTTCCCACWGGCATTTGATAAATATCTAACAACTGTTCTAAATGCACATTTTTCTGATTTTTTTTTAATGACTAGTAATTAATTCCAGTTCAGAATCTTGCTTTTTCTGGTTTGAAAAGTTTTCACACAAGGGACTACAGGAAAAATGTGCCAGATTACAAAATGGCTTCTGAAAAATCTATTTTTTTCCAATATTTTTTCCTCATTGTAGGATTACACACAAGAAAGTGTGATGGCAAATCATCTTGTAGAACAGTTGTGTTAATTTTTCCTTATAAATAAGCCATATTAGCAATAAGCCATATTTTAGACCAATTTTCTAAAATTCTGAAATAAGAAAGCAGAGGTGGTTTTCTTTTCCAAGCAAGAACTAGACACTAGAGGCTGAACAACAGAATAAATTTTCTCTGAGAGGCAGTGCATTTGGCAGCAGCTCAGACACTTCATTCTC